TTCTTAGCTTGATAGTTGGTAACGAGCTGAATGGCGTTGAAAAAGTCATAATGTTTTATTTTCTTGATGTAATACGATAGGCCTTTTCAGATCTCACGGGCGTTGGACACCGGTGATTCAAGTCCTCTTCTGGTGGATTTGTCCACAACATCCAAGATGATATAGAGGTGCTTGACCCCATAGTCATCCCTAGTTTATGTAGTTTTTGGTTGTGATAGGCTTTGCCAGCTGCGCAAGTGAAAAGCGGCTTAGGCATGGTAAATAAGCTGGTGGTGTGAGGATGGATATTTTCTCATCTGCAGTGTTTTTCAGTAGCACGTGAACTCAAACTTTATTTCGAGTCCCCTTCTTTGCTGATATGAACGTTTGTTTCGGTAGATTTAAGCCTTCCTTCAGGTACTTGCATTTGTAAATTGTGAATAGTGAAAACTATTTCATTTGGCTATTTTTGATGCAGTGAGTGCGCGAGCAATTCTTTCTCTGCTTTCGAGTTTCAATTAATCTGTAATTGTTTAATCAAAGCTGCATGCCAACTCTTTTCGAACACGTGAATTATTTCTCCAATTTTCTGCATTAAAGCCAACCTCATTGTGAAGAAAGTCGACCTATGTAGATGGGGAAAAATGGAATACCATCAAGAGGAATGAATGATTCAACAGAAACAAAACTCAATCTTGGTAACGGGATTCACAAATTTAAGATTATTTCTTCTCATGGGCTTCACAAATTAAAGATGATTTTCATATTACTTAAAACTAAACAATAAACCTGAAGGTATATAAATAGTATTTATTGAATCGTTGGAGGGATATGATTATCGTGGTATGCCTACAATTTCTTGAATATGAACATGAATATATATTGTGAAGACGCCAAGGGCATCTCTTACTGATACTGCTATACATGGGTTTTTCAGCTGGAGCATCCTCTTTTAAACAAATTTTCCTACATCTGCTTTGGTTCGCCGACCCTTAGATGAACAAATAAGATGTTATTGTAACCTCGAGTAATTCTTATCTTCCCGTCATTGTATCTGGAACATAATCAGGCAAGTAAGTCGGATTGTGTAAAAGCCACCGTTGAATAAAAGAGCAGCAAAAACTGGAGATATCTTACAGAAGTTGGAGCTTGAACCGGCTCTCCATTTCCACGGGATATCCAAATGGGCCTCCAATAATTGCAGCATCATCCATGGTAACATCGTATGTGTTGTCTTCAGATTGCCTGCCTCAGAGCAAACGCATGTCTAAAAAAAATTCTTGGGATTCTTGCAGTTCAATAGAAAGAACAATAATGGAAGAGAGACTTACACAAAAGTACCAGTCATGGAAAATATCAGTCCTAGCAGCATATCCACTCGAAACTTCATTTGTCCATTCTTGATAATCTGTCAGGGTAATATACATGCGACTCTGTGAGAGTAGTAAATGGTAAAAATTAGTTCACTTTATAACTAAAGGTTAATAAAGCATTCTACCTGCATCCCCATGAGACCATTTGCAGCATTCTCTATCCAACTATCTGTTTCCATCTGCAATTTACAGGAATTGGATAATTAGCTTTGTTTTCTGAAATGGTAACATTCGAAACCTGAACTATTCCGATTCAAAAAATGAAATTCAGAAGTGAAAAAGATGGAGTAAGTGGAGCGGACAGGGACAAACTTGAAAGAGACAATGACCTATTGATACTCATATGAAGTTTTTGAACCAGAACTATTACTCCTCGACATCTCATGCACACTGTTTAATGGATAATGTCTAATTCAAATATTCCACTGTCAACATTCCACCACTATTTTCTTTAATTGATAATTTTCTAACCCATTTTCTTCTGTACAGAATACGAAAATATAAAAACCATAGACTACCTGTGAACTCCATAACATCTTCCAGTCTCCCTCGAGAAGCTCCTTTTCAAATTTGTTATCATTCTGATTTTTAGAGATAAGCTTCTCAATGGCCTGTAGTAGGTTCAAGTACTCGAGAGATTAGCCAGAGGAGAATATAATGAAGTTGTGCAGTTTTCAAGCAGTCTTACCTCTTCAACTCCTTTACCAGTAGAAATTGCTACCAGCAAGTTTTGCCTTGCTTCCGTTTTCTTTTGCAACACAAATGTGGTTCCCTACACTATTACAATGGTTCTGTATGATTAGCAACTGCCCAATCAACCCCAGTAGAAGTGTAAAATATGTTGAAGGTAATCTTAAATGGCCAGACCTAACATTTGATAACTGGGGAAAGTGAAGAACTAATTTACCTTGTTTCCTCTTGAGATGCGGAGGTTTCCGGAGGGAGATAAATATGTGGTGTCCAACCAGCCCTTTGCTTCATCTCCAAGAAGTCTAAATGGTACAGGATATGGAACCTTAAAAGGCAAAAACTTCAAAGAAAATGCTGCTCGGTCAAATTGGAAAAGGATGCGTTTGCCGTCTTTGACTGATGCAGCCGCCTAACAGGGGAGAATAGCCTTAGATATGCGAAGTACTTGAGATTGATAAACCGATTTTCAGAATATGTATCAACATACCTCTACTTTCAGCTCTCCGATTGCATCGGAGAATTTAACAATGTTGGAGACACGTTGGTCGTTTGTCTGTAGATATATCTCTTGAAACACGCTGAAGAAATCAACTCCAACAAACGTTCTCTGAAGGAGAAGATCCATTAATTTTTACCACCTTTTGTCCATATCAGTGCTTCAGTGTGTTAAATATCAAACTGATTATATCTTCATTCCTCGCTGTCTTATCAGAATTTACACTTAATTGCTAACAAATGGTTCCTACGATAAGGCAACAGAATTTTTTCATACAGGCAACTTCTTCACCTCATTATAATTAAAATACATGAATGAGGTTGATATTCATAATCTAACTTCTGAACTATGATTCGACCGTAAAACCAGTTAAGGTACAAGATTATAATATTATGAGAAAGCCACTTGCTACTGTTCGACTGCAGGTTATGTCAAGAATTGAAATTAAACCTGTATTATGGATGCTGTTCCAGGTCGAGTCGTAAACACTAACTGCCAACGTCCTTCAATTAAACTAGACTTTGTCTGCAGGCATTGAAAGAAGTGAGGATTACAAAGGGCAAAACTCGTAAAATAGACGCAGGTTATCTTCCTTAATTGTGATTCATATTGTAGATATAATATTAAGGATGAATTTCCAAGCCTCTATATAATGGACAGAAACAAATCAAGAATGTTTCTGGATTACCATATAATGTTATAATAACAAGTTGCTGTACTGGCATTGACTAATCAAAACAGGACTTTGGTGCAGACCGATTTCTCAAGAAGACTGTGCGGCTGCCAAACTAATAACTTGTTGAACTAAACCCATTGTATGCTAACCAGAGAAAGTAATCAAGAACACCGAGGATTGTAGTGGTTCAGAAATCATAGGTACTCCTACATTCACTAAGAAAGTCAATTCCTTTCTATATCAGAGCTCAAACGAGAGCATATAAAATAGAGTGAGAGGTAGTCAGTCACCCAGCGCTTCTATCTGTAGTTCCCCTGCTCCTCTCATGATATGTTCAATTTTTAGTTTGTATTACACTTTAATTGTAAAAATACACCTTAACTTGATAATAAGAGCCTTACCTCCGGTTCTAGCTGGATTTAGACCTTCCTTTCCTTCTATTCTTATGATTCCTCTTAGCTGGTCTTCTCCTAACGCTCAAACTTTCACCGTTTCCCTTACTCTTTTCAATTTTCATTTCTGGATTTCTAATTCAAGAGCATCCAGGGGCTTATTATGCCTTAAGTGAAGGTCTTCCACAATGACAGATTTAGCTTCCATAGAAGATATGGCAGTGAATTAACGGAATGATGGTGTGGTTTTCATCACTTGTTTTCTCACAGGCATTAGCTAAACGAAGTTTATCCAACTTACCCCAAATTATGGCCTGTCTACTTCATCTGTCCACTTGCCTCAGTTTGATGAACTAACAAACTTGCATGATCAAACCGATCGAAGTAGTCAAGAATACCAAGCAACCATAGTTCCAAATACCATGTATAGGTATTAATACATCCACCATGAAAGCCAGTTCCTCTCTACTGCACAGCTCAAGAGAGAAGAAGATACAGAATTGGAGAAAAATAGTCACTCATCCTAACCATCAACCGGCAGTTCCAATTTTAAGCCTGCAAACCAACTGGTTTTTGAATACCATCGAGTATAAAAACAATACTTGCCCCCCACACCGGTCAGCTGAAACTCCACTTTTTGATGTGGTTCATTTTTAGCAGCTTAAAATATAAGTGGGATCACTCATCTATAAAATGCAATAGAAATGGACCAATACAGACAAATTATATCAAAAAGTGAGAAGGAGCTCTTGCTGACCAGTGTGTAGGGCAATACTATTCCTAGTGTAATGCACTTAACCAGAATACAACAAACAAAATTATACGGGCAAGAAACTAACAGAACAAGGCTAAAAGAATGAGCCACCCACTGGCTCTTACGGAGACTATTTTCCGGAAGGTTGTCGGGTCGTATTTCCAGTATTTTCCCAAGAAAGTAAGAAAAGTTTGTGGTGGACATTATTTCAAACAGTTGGCGAACTTATCTACCAATGTTTCAAGAGATTAGTTAGCACTAGCAGTGTGGTGAATGAGAAGACTGTTAAGAAGTGATAGGGAAAGGCAACCGGATTACCGGATCTCGCACGCCTTCCAAATCTTCTAGAACATTCACGGCCCGCTCAACACTCTACAGAAATCAGAGTAAAAGAAGTTCGAACCTCCGAATTTGGATTGAAATAAACACAAGAAGACAAAGAATAAAGAAATAGGCGAAACATATTACGGTGAGCTGGTGAGAAGAAACAGAACGACCTCGGCCTTGGACACCAATGAGAGCCTCAACGAGCGAATTTTCAGGTTCAGAAAACGAGACGACTTCTTTCTGCTGCTCATCGACGAGAGAAGATTGACACCGAAGAGGAATGTTTCTGTGGTGGCGATGGTACCGTGTGAGCGAAGGCAGAGACGCAGTTTGGGGGCTGAAAAATGGGGGGCGGAGGGCATTAGCTTTAAGAGCCATGATAGGGCCTGGGT